ACACACACACATTAATACACACACACACACACATTAATACACACACACATTAATACACACACATTAATACACACACATTAATACACACACAACAACACACATTAATACACACACACACACATTAACACACACACATTAATACACACACATTAATACACACTTCAACACACGCACGCGCTTGTGTTTGTGTTCTTCGCGCACTTTCAGCTTCTGTTTTTGGATAAAAAATCTTGTTTATTTGTTTATTTTTATAAATTCTGATCAGTTTATTTCACTTGAGCCGCGGCTCTAAATCACTTCCTGATCTTAAACTCAGGAAATCAAACCTGAAGCAGAAAAATCAATAAATAAATCAATAAAATCTGATGATTGTTATTAAAGAGTTGAAGCTGAGCTGCGGATCTTTCAGCAGGAAGCTCTTTAGTCCTGCCTACATTTTGTTTGTTTGTTTGTTTGAGGTGAACACAAACAAACAAACTGAACCCGCTTCCACTCGGATCAGAACCAGAACCTCCAGGGACGAACCAAAGAATTTCTCAGAGCCTCAAATAAAATTTCTGCTGAAGTTTTTGAGCGTAAATAAAATAAAAATATTTATTTTTTGAGTTTTGAACAAACCGAAGCTCCTAAAACATAAATTTTATTTTAATAATAAAAACTAAAAGTTGGAATAAATTCAGATTGACGGAAGTGACACGCAGCAGCTGAAATTAAAACATTAAATTAATTCAAACGTGACTTTTTAATTTTGATAAAAAATAATTTAATTACGTTTGTCCAAAAAGAAGCGCGCGCGCGCGCACGAGGGGAGGAAAAGGGGAACATTTCCTCCACTTCCTTTAAATGAGGCGGAGAACGCGGAAAAAAGAAAGAGTTCCTTTCCTTGATTTTATTTATAAAGTTTAAATGATTTTAAAGAGTTTCATAAAGTTTGAATAAAGTGAGAGGAAGAGGCCGCGGGCTGCAGCGGGGATGCTCACGCGCACCTGTTCTTACTTTTCCAACTTTCCACTAAAGTTCCCGCAAGTCTCCCGGTGGGAGCGGCTCAGGGGTCCGGGCTCGGTTCGGATGGGTCCGGCTGTGAGGAGGTTACCTGCTACTCCCTGGCTCTGCAGGATGAAGTTCTTCCAGCTGTCCGCCGCTCCATGTGGCGCGGGACGCGGCGGCGCGCCGGGGCCCTGGAGCTGCAGCCGGAGCCCCGCCCCTCTCCACGGCACTTCCTGCTTCCAGCCCAGCATGACTTCTGGTTCTGAGCTCGGCTCGGGCATTTTGCGTGCTTTTATCCACGCGGCGCGCGCAGCCCGGGGAGCCGAGCCCGAACCCTCTGGCGCTCGGCTCCGCGCTGCGCCAATGAGCAGCAGCCGTGCGTGAGATGAGGAGGGGGTCCACTCATCATTTATTTATTTCATTCACACGGAGGGGGCCGGGTCCACGCGTGGACAGCTCCTCTTCTGTCACCGGTTCTGGTTCTGAAACCAAGAGCTTTCAGTCAGAACTGAGCAGATGTGGACCCGCTCCTCCTGATCCAACAGAACCTCCTCAAGAACCAGAACATTCAGTCTCTCTCGTGGTTCTGGAGGAATTCTGACCCATTCTTTACATGCTGGGTTGCTCAGCTCTTTGAAGACCCACCACAGCATCAGTCAGGTGGAGGTTTTGGACTCTGACTGGACCTTGGTTCTGTTCTTTCTGACCCGGTCTGTTGTAGATCAGCTGCTGTGTTCTGGATCTTGGTGCTGTTGGACTCAGTTTGGTCCAAGCTTCAGCTGTTGGACATCCAGAACCTTTGGTCTCCAGAGAAGTTCTGGTCCACTCAGTGACTGACTGGAGCCCAAACCATCAGCCTCCACCACCGTGCTGACAGCTGGAGGAGCTGTTTGCTGCAATGCATTCTGGGTAAACACCTGTCAAGTTCTGGTCCAGAAGTCTTGTGGTTCCTTCAGATGAAACTTTCCAAACCTCAGTGATGCTGCCATGTTGGTTTAGAGAGGAGGTGACCTTTGACCTGCTGACAGAGACCTGTAGAGTCACTGCACGGTCTGACCTTCAGGGTCACTCAGCTGTGAAGATTGACAGCTGTCTCAAATGTTTTCCTGCTGTGAATCATCTCTGTAAAACAATGAACGCTAAATGAACTTTGACCTTTGACCCTTCCCAGATTGCTTCTCTGAGGCCATTGCTGATGTCTTTCGGTCTTGGCGTTGTGTTAACACACCTGGAGGCTCCTCAGAAGTTCAGGATCAGGACGTGCTGGTCCTGTGGGACCAGCAGGACATGATGTCCATGTTTTTATCTGCAGAAGGACGAGGTGGACGGTCCAACAGGAGGACACCACCTGACAGCTCAACAGTCTGAGGACACCACTCCTCTGGTTTAAGAAGGACCAGATCAAGGTTCTGGAGTGGTCCAGTCAAAGTCCAGACCCCAGTCCAGCAAATAACCCTTGGTTTGATCTAAAGACTATTGGACACAACCAGCATCGTTCAACCTGAAGGAGCTGGAGACATTTGGAGACGAAGGATGGACAGAAACTCCAGGTTGGATGGACCAGGATCATGGAGACGAACCTGATGGACCAGGATCATGGAGAAGGATCTGATGGACCAGGATCATGGAGAAGGACCTGATGGACCATGATCATGGAGACGGACCTGATGGACCAGGATCATGGAGA